GTTATTTTTGTAGCAAATTTCATGGTAACCATCAGAAATGTCTTGAAATCTTAACAATTGCCTGGAAATCTGTAGTTTCTAGGATAAATGTAATTTTTTTGGAGGAGTCTTTGTGGTTAAATTTACAATATAGGGTCAACTGGGGTAATTGTGAACAGTTTTAACAATTTTAACTTTGGTAGTGATTATCTAAGGTTTCTTATTTTCTAAATCTATGAAATTTGGATTCAGTGTCGGTTAGTGTATCACGTATTAAATTACCAGGACAGACCGTCATTTGGCACATTACTTTTTATTTATTTTTTTGATTTACATTTACCCCACGCATTTACAATTACCCTGGTTAAAAGGGGCAAATGTAAACGAAGGTTTCATGGAGTATTAGGATGATACTAGAATTTTAAGGGGCAAATGAAAACAAATTTAGTATGACTATGTTTTTATAAAAAAAAAAATCAAAAGAAGGGTATTTACATTTACCCCAGAAAAAATAAAATATGTAAATTTCTAAGGGCATCAGAGGGACAAACTAACAAAAAAACACTTAAAAATAACAGCTAGTAGCTCATTAAACAGTGGGCTTAACCTATGTCAACCTATTCATTATCTTAACATCACTACAGTCACAAATCTGCTACCAGCTTTATTTTTCGAAAACCGCTATTGACCCAGGAAAAACATAATAGTATATTATGTAATGATCATGTAATGATAGCCATTGCCCATTAATACACGAGCATGTTGTAGGATACGAAACGAGCCGCAGGCGAGTTTCGTATATAACATGCGAGTGTATTAATGGCCATTACATGAGAGTTGCATACACTATTTTTTCTACTGTCATTGATAAAACTTATGATTTTTAGATATGTCAACATTATGCTTAACTTTGAATAGAGATTTTATAATTGAGTGATGCGTCCATACAGTTGAAGGTTTCATTTTTTGTTGTAATTCTTTAAAATATACTAACAAAACATTTTCTGAGAAGGACGATGTGTTTTTGGTGTTTCCAATCCATAAATTGTCCTAATTTTTCGTACATTTTCTTCGACTTGTTCGGTAGTATATTTATTACCTGCATTTGTCGTCCTTTATGTAATTTCTAGAGGTGTTAGTGAAAATTCTTCGTTATCACTCAATATTTCCATAATAATTTCTCATCCCAAACTTTAGGTAACTTTTAATAACAATTTGAAGTATTTTTTTCATAAAATTTATTGTTTTTCGCTAAATTACCATGGAAAAACTATAAACAGAGTGCAGTCAAAAAAAAAAAATCAAAATTTCCTAACTGCTGGCGCCATCTATTGACAATGTATAATAATGAAAAAAGTAAAAATTCTTCCTTATCACTCATTATTTCCGTAATAATTATTTTTTGTCCCAAACTTTAGATAACTTTTAAACAATTCGAAACCCTTTTTATAGTCATCAAAATGATTGTTTTACGCAAAATTACCGTTTAAAATGTTTAATATCTTAACTGGTGGTGCCATCTATCTACATTGTATGATATTAAAAATCAGTATTATAATGAAAATCTGTATCATAATGAAGTTCATTATGATACATATTTTAATCGTTTAATAGCGTATTATGAAATGTCAGTAGAAAAATGACTTTTTTGTTACGATATTGAAGGTTTGGGTTAGTTTAATCATTTCAAATGTTGTAACTTATATCATTTGGCTTCTCAACAAACTCTGTTGATGTAGAATTTAACTCCTGAAACCCTTGAACCGTAACATCTCCTTCTTCTTGATCAATTTTTTGTATACAACAAACTTACTCATAATGGATTTTATTTTTCTTTCTACCCTGAAAATCTACTAATACAAACAACCCTGTTTTTAATTCATGCCAAACTGGTTCATGATATTCAACTTCACTTATTGATTCCAGTAATGACTAACTTTAATAAATCTTCATCAGAAGAGACACATAGCCGATTCGTCTAACAGTTCTTCTTGAATTTCTTCTTCCTCATGAACAACCTTTCTTTTCTTACCATATGCCTTTTTAATCCCATTCTCATTCTTATCTTTTTGCTTTTTATTGGTCTCCTTCTTTTGATCTCTTAACTTTTGAGCAGTTTCCATTTTCTCTATGTGGGATAGTTAAAATTTCGCTATACATTTGTTTTGTGGTTTTAGTCTCGGTATAATCTGCCTCTGTACCTTTTTAACATTTGATTGGTTAATGTCACACGTTAATGTAACTATTACTTTGCTCAGCAAATATGCTAACTATTGTGTTGGAAGTGACTGTGGTGGTGGATGTGTGTATGCCTTTAATAGGTGTAGAATTGTCAGGTGGCTGATCAGGATCGTTAGCATTCGAATTAGGACTTGGCATATCCTGGCAATTTTGTGGTAAAGACACTCACTACCTACCTGATTACCGAACTTTTTGCATTTACATTTACCCCATTTTAGGATTTACAATTACCCCAACACTAAATTCTTTGGGGGTAAATGTAAATACATAGTATTTTGTAGGTTACTACTTGCAAAATGTTTCTAGTTTTTTTGTTTAAAACTAAGCAAGTATGACATTAACAATCACCTAAACCAAAATTCGAATCACAGTTACTGTTTTTGGGTCAGCAATTCACTTCTAAAAAAACCTTCACAAATCTGTTTTTCAGTTAAAACTGCACTGTTATGTTCACATGGCTGCATTTCAGAACCAACTGCCATTTCAACCTCAAAAACGCGGGAAATGCGGATAATGTCAATTTTAGGTCAAATTCACTCTTAGCCAGAAAATACAAGGTATTTTCATTTACCTCTTTTCACATTTACCCCAGTTGACCCTAATAAAAAAGTATCTGATAATTTGGAGAACTCATGAGAAAATTAATTCTGATATTTAGGTATAATCAATGACGGTTTAATACATATTTTAACTCTAAGATTAGGCCTTCATACTACACCTGCAATTCCAACCAAAAAAAAATCCCTTATTTCAATTGTTTTATCAACTTAATTGAAGCTGCAATTTCTTCCTCAGTCCACTTCCACTAGCAGGAAACCACACGACACAGAAACGCGAAAAATTTACAAATAAGGGGTTTAAATCTAATTCAACTACAATATGGGTTACTATTGATTACAAATGGATACCTGCCCTATATTTAAATGATAAAATACACAGACAACAAAATTTGTATAATAAATATTGAATAAATTACTGCAGGGAATCAAATATACCTAAATTCCTATACAAGCCATAAGTGTACAGAGCTAGTTAGGGCCGAATTTAACTATAGTATCTCCTCAACTTAAGGAAGTTTTGCACGTTTAGAATTGATTTGATAAACTTGTTCTTGAGAAGGTAATTAAAAAAAGAATGACACAATTCATAGAAAATAATTTTTTGAGTGATCAGTTCCAGTATGGTTTTATACAGAAAAGTAGTACGTTGTCTGCGACCTTCGATTTTGTAAATTTCTCGACCAAAGCCATGGACCAAAAAAAAATTGTAGTTGTGGTTTCCATCGATTTGCGTAAGGCATTTGATACAGTCGGCATAGATACTCTTTTGAAAAAACTACATTATATGGGCTTTGGGGGTAAATTTTATAATATTCTGGAATCTTACATTAAGAGTCGAAGCCAGTATGTCAAATTGGGTGAATGTTGTAGCGAGACACTACAAAACAATTATGGGGTGCCACAGGGTTCCGTCCTTGGGCCCCTGCTTTATTCATTATATGTTCTAAGTTTGCAAATTGCTGGCCTCAAGGCCCAGTATTATACATTTGCCGATGATACATTATTAGTGTATACAGGTGAAAATGAAAAAGAATTGGAAATTCTAATTAATGAGGATCTAGATAAATATCTCAGGTGGCTGTACTCTAACAAATTAAAAGTAAACATCGATAAAACTAATTTTATAATTCTCACACAAAAAAATAAAGTAGTAAGTGATATTGATTTGAAAATTAATAATATTAAACTAGAAAAAGTATCATCTCTCAAATATTTAGGTTTAATTGTAGACGAACATCTACATTGGCAATTACATATTAAAAAAATATTAAATAAAGTGAATCCTATGATACCTATAATTTATAAATGTAGAAGTTATATTTCTCAAAAAACAAAAAAACAAATATATACTGCATTTTTCTTGTCACACCTGAGATATCTATTACCCATTTGGGGAACCTGTGGGAAAACCAGCTTCAGTGAAATGCAAATTATGCAAAATAAATTCCTAAAAATTTTATTTAATTATGAGTATCTTACACCTACGAATGATTTATATCAAGAATTGAATGTACCTAAATTAGAAAAAATATTGGAACTTGAGCAGTGCAAACTTGTATATAAAATACTTAATAACCTACAAAAATCAAATACAAATTTTCAATCCATAAGCATAATTCATAATCATGATACAAGGTCGCAGTCAAGTTTATATCTGACACAGAGCAGAACTAACATAGGTTTAAATAATCCTGTCCAACTTGCCTCCAAATGTTTTAATAAATTGGGAGATGACATAAGGTTTGCTAATTCTTATCCACTCTTTGTTAGAAAATGTAAAAGTTACCTTAATATTTATTAAAAAAAAAAGCTATAAAAAAAATGTATGTTAAATCAAAAAATCAAAAGTATATTATACGTTAGTATCAACTATCACCACTTAGACAACATAACACTGTTAATATAAGTTATTTAAATCTCGAGGCCAGAGCTATTTAAGCACTGATTTGAGATGCAAAAAAAAATATTCAAAAATTGTTATATTTCGAATTGTTAATAAAGTTGTTTCAAAAAAAAAAAAATAGTAACAAGTGTGCATTCTAAACTAACGACTATAAATTTGGCCCTTATTAATAAACTGATGATATAGCATAATTTTACTCTCTATTTATCTTTCATTTGAAGCTCAAAAATAAAAGAATCAAAAATTGCCACATAATCATTGGTCTATTGTTCTAATTTTCCCAAATATTTAAAAGGGTACTATTTTCTTTTGCTTACCTGTTGACGTAAATGTTGCTGTATGTTCACTGATTAGATTTTTCTTCTTAAAACCTATTTTCTTGCGTAATTTAATTGAATAAAAAGATTTTTAACAATCTTCACATTATTTATCAATAATAAACATTAGCCATGTTGATTTTTGACAGCAATATGACAAATGGATGACATCTCAAATGTCGATAGTTAAAAGCGCTGTTGCCAAATATTCACTTGAATTAAATTCAACTTAACTACTTCGTTTGTACACGTTCAAAAGTTGAAAAATACATGGAATTTTCCATTACTTGCATTTTTAAAATGCACAAAACTTTACTCCTTCCTCTGCAGACTTTTCAAATAACAATCCTCGTTTTCCTATAAAATCAGTCTGACAACGCTGTACTTTGAAAAATTTAAAAAAGTTTGGTTATGTTTTTTGTTTGAATCCAAAACACAAACCGTTAAGTTAGAAGCCTGATAAAATGGAAATTAATTAATATAAAGGTAAAAATCAAAAGAATAATATAGTATATTATAACAGCTAATCCATTTTTACAGCTTTTCGAAAAACCAACAATGTCCAACTTTACTGGCGATGATCTTTTAAACACTTTTGCAAATTTAAATGTAGATTTGGGAGATTTAAACGACAATGTTATAAGAGGCTGGTATGATACAGATTGTACTGCAACAAAGGAAATTTTAAATTGGATGTGTGCTTCTTTATCCAACACTAATTACCTTGACTCTTTAGAAAAAGCCGAGTAAGAATTTTCAATACTCTTTGTAATAATTCAATTGAAAATTTTATAGATTTGATGAAATTCAAAACAAATTAGATTTGAACAAGTGTGCAGAAGAACTTGCCAATTTGAATCCAAACTATTTGTCAATGCTAGAAGATTGTGGTAATTTAGAAGATATTGTTTTGATTGAAAACGAAATAGAACTATTACAGAATGAAAACAAGGATTTGGATATGTTAATCAAGATTTATGAGTGAGTACATTTTGCTAGGGGTAAACTGCCAATATGTATTTCAGGGTACAATACTCGTGTATTCTTATCTCATGTAGAGGAGAAAAAGTTATGATTATTCAACAAAGTTTTCAAAAATTCATGTCCAAAATGGTTAAATTTCAATTTTTTTTTGGTGTATCAGGTCAGAAATTTCATACAGTGATTTATTGTTTAATTTGAAGCTGAAATCTTTGAAAAGAGGAGTTCAGAAAAAGTCAAGAACAAGATTTTTTCTGAGAAACTACCTTATGTCCAAATGAATTGAAATTTTCAGGTATTACTTATAGTTCTCTACTGAGGTAAAAATCTCTGAAAATATCAACTTTCCATCTATAATAGAAAAAAAGTTATGGGTCTTCAAAGTTTTTAAAAATCCAAATCATTAATATGTACCTCGATATGTACTAAAATGATGAAATGTCAAATTTTTTTATGTTGAGATTTTGCCTTTATATGATCAGTTGGGACCCCCTAAACTCCATACATGAAATTATTCTGAGATTGGAAGCCGAAATCTATAGAAAAAGGCACTCAGAAAATAGAAAAATTGATAAATCACCCCAAATTGCTTAACACGATTTTATCTTAGGAACCATAAGTGCAAATGAGCTGACATTTTCAGGGATTGTAGTCCCTTTATTGAGATAAGATTCAGTGAAAATTTCAGCTTTCTATCTATAGCAGAAAAAAAGTTATGCCATTCCAAAGTTTTCCAAAATCTAAATCATAAGGTAAAGTCTGTTTTTTTTTTTAAAATAAATCCCCAAGTCAAAAATTTAGTAACTATGTTGGCAACACAAGCCTTTTCTACAGAAAAAAATTGAAAGCATTGATAATTTTACATTGTATTGCCTACATAATGTCATTCTGACTTTTATCTTTAAAAAAAAAACACACTTTAGCTACCGAGATAGCTACCTTCTTACTAAAACAATAAAATTTCAATTTTTTTTTGTTGAGATTTTGTATCCTAATGGTCAATTAACATCCCCCAAACTCCATACACTGAATTATTCTCAGATTTGAAGTCAAAATTGAGGTCGAAATCTATGAAAAAAGGCACTCAGAAAAATTTATAAATCACCCCAAATTGCTTAACACGATTTTAACTCAGGAACTATAAGGGAACATGAGCTAAAGTGTTCAGGGATTGTAGTCCCTTTATTGAGATAAATTTCAGTGAAAATTTCAGCTTTCTATTTATAACAGAAAAAAAGTTATGCCATTCCAAAAGTTTTCCAAAATCTAAATCCGAGTCTAAATCATAAGGTGTTTAACTCCTTAAAATATGTACAGGGTATTTGATTATATTTTGCACCATACCTACAGCCTTTACTATTTAAGATAGAAAAAAAATTTAAATACAACAAATGACAGTTTTTTTCTATATGTTCTGATAACGTTATCAGAAAAAACAAACTCGCATCGGAAAATGGAGAAACGTAAGCAACTTCGACTTTTTTTAATGGAACACCCTGTATATTATGCGATAAAATGAGAGATCTATTCTTCCTGATTACAAATATATATATGTTGATCACATTTGCGTGAACAATTTTTGACACTCAGGTTAAATTATAAAGAATTTGCAGAGAAGTTCCATAAGAATCTCTATCTTTATAAAATTTTTTTGCAATTTAGTTATAGTTTAAGCTGAGATATGTCAAAAATGGCTCACGCAAATGTGATCAACATATATATATTTGTAATCAGGAAGAAAAGGTCTATCATTTTATCGCAAAATATACAGGGTGTTCCATTTAAAAAAGTCGAAGTTGTTTACGTTTCTCCATTTTCCGATGCGATTTTGTTTTTTCTGATAATATTATCAGAAAATATAGAAAAAAACTGTCAAGTTTTGTATTTGAAATTTTTTTCTATCTTAAATAGTAAAGGCTGTAGGTATGGTGCAAAATATAATCAAATACCCTGTACACAGATTTTATATCTTTATTGATTTTGTGCAGGATTTTGAAAATCTTCACGTGATTTTACAGGATTTTGAAAGATTTTACGTGATTTTGGAGCATTTTAGGGGAGTTAGAAGGGTTTTTAGAGATCCTAAAGGATAAAGATTTTAATGGATTCGAATGGGGATGTCACGTCCAGGTAATGAAATTTTTGGAAGGAAATTCACGAGCTGTTTTTTGGACAAAAATTTCTTTATTGTCGTTAGATTTTAATTTTCGCCGACGTAATACTTTTTTATCTTCTTCAGGGCTGAAACAACAAGATCCAATATTTGCATGTACACATTATACAATTTTTAAAAATTATTTTGCATAACAACAATTAAAATACAAATAAACAAAATACGAAGAAATAAATAAAATGAAACAGTACACAAATTAGTGGGATAAAATCAACAATCCGGTGAGGGAAAGTGCAAGTTCTTACCTTAGTTACATAACGACATAGTCAAAGTTGATGGTGGGTTGATTGTTAACATTTTTTCCAACTGAAAAAACACTGTTACATAGATATACAAGAGATATTCTTCTGTTACACACACGAAACCGAAGACAAAAAACAAATTCACAAACTTAGCGTACCGATTTATATTAAAATTTTTATTTGGGAGACACAAAATCTAATGACAATAAAGAAATTTTTGTCCAAAAAAGAGCTCGTGAATCCAAAAGATTTTAATCTCGATTTTAATGGATTTTCGGGGATTCCAAAGGATTTTTGGAATTTTTTTAAAGGAATTTTTTAGGAACATTATTGACTTAAGGAGGTTTTGTTGGAATTTTAAAGAATTTAAAGATTTTCAGGGATTTAAAGTAGATCTTACGAGTTTTTCTGGGATTTTGTCCAACTTGTACACAGATTTTGATCAATCAACCACTCCGAGGTTTAGTTTACTCCATAAAATAATGAACATATTTTAAATCTTTTTTGATTTTGTAGGATTTTGAGGATTTTGAAAATCTTTACATGATTTTACAGGAGTTCAAAAGATTTAAGATTTTCAAAATATTAGGTGATTCTAGAGCATTTTAAGGGTTTTTGAAAAGTTTTTAGGGATTCTAAATTCAAATGACAAATTTGAATAGAAAAATCGGAAGTCCTAGAAATTTTACTATAAGATTTCAAATTATTTTTCCGAATCTCACTATAAGATTCCATGAAATTTCACTATAAAATTCAATGGGATTCTTGTACAAAAATTTCTCGCAATTACAGTATAAGATTTCATGAAATTTCTCAAAATTCCACTAAAATTTTATGTAATTCGACAAAAATTACTCTGAATTTCACTAAAATTTAATTCAATTCTTCAGAATTCCACCGAAATTTCTCGTGATTCCATGGGAATTCCACGGAAATTCTGTTTAATTCCAAGGAAATTCTTCGGATTCCATGTAATTTAACTAAAATTCCACAATAAGATTTTAAGGAATTCCATGGAATTCGACGAGAATTCCTTGGAATTTTACTCGACATTTCATCGAAATTTTATGTAAGTGTATGTAATTTGATGAAAATTCTGCGATTATTTCATAATTTTTATTTTTTTCGAAATTTTCCAAAATTCTATAGAAATTCCAAATTAGGTACCTACATAATTTTCTTTTACTGAAATTCCCTAAAACTTCACCACTGGAATATCACAAAATTTTCAGAATTTCACTGACATTTCATGTACCTAGTTTCTTAAAAATTCCTCAGAATTTCATTAAAATTTTTTAGAAATTTCACTGAAATTCCACGTTATTATAGTCGAAAATTTCTCGAAATTCCAATGAAATTTAATTTTTTTTCAAATTTCCATAAGAATTTTATGAAATTTCCGAGGAAATTTCACTGAAATATTTTTTCAATAGTCAGTCAGGAGTTCCTGGGAATATTAATGATACTTCAAGCAATTTCTTGAAAATTTACCAAAATACCTCCGCAATACATATATTGAAATTTAATGTCATTACATGGGAATTTTTCCAAATTTCACCGAAATTCCATGTTTTTAACCGGAAATTCCTCGGAATTCTATTTGTGAAATTTTCTGGAATTTTACTTAAATCCAGTATCACTAAAATTCCATGTTTTTAACTGAGAATTCCTCGGTGAAAAAAAAAACTTTACATCATTACATTAGGATTTTTCGGAATTTTACTGGAATTCCATATGAAACGACGAGTTATTCAAAATTCACCTTTAATTTTATGTAATTCCCTGAGAATTTCTTGGAATTCCATGCGGAATTTCATAATATATTTCAACAAATTCATGTAATTTTTTGATTTTTTTTTCAAATTTTCTATGAAATTTAACGAGCACTAAAATTTCATGTTGGAAATTTCGGTGTAATTCCATGTAATTGTTTAGAATTCCTCCATGCAACTCATCAGGATTTCGTGTATAATATGATCGAAATTTCACTAAAATTTCATGTAGTTTCTCGAAATTTCATGTAGTTCGAGAGGAACTAAAATTTAATGTGAATTCTATGGAAACTCCGCAGAAATTTTACATGTAATTTCTTTTTTAGAATAACATAATTCTACCGAAATTCCTCACAATTCCAGTAAATTATGGAATTCTTAGAGACTTTAACAGATTCTTGGGGATTCCAATGGATTATTGGGAATTTCAAAGGAAATATTTTTTAGGAATGTTAATGACTTTATGAGATTTTGCAGGATTTTTTCAGTTTCAATAAAATCGTGTGAGATTTTATAGGATTTTATGCGATTTCAACAGATTTTGTGGGATTTTATCAATCTTCTTAGGATTTTGAAGATTTTTAGGGATTTTAAATAGATTTTATGAGATTGTCTGGGATTTTGACCAACTTGTACACAAATTTTGACCAGTTAACCGCCTCTCGGTAGATACCTTCTTACTAAAACGATGAAATTTCAAATTTTTTTGTTGTTGAAATTTTGTATCCTTATGGTCAATAAACATCCCCCAAACTCCATACACTAAATTATTCTCAGATTTGAAGCCGAAATTTATAAAAAAAGGCACTCAAAAAAATTGGAAAATTGATAAATCACCCCAAATTGCTTAACACGATTTTATCTCAGGAACTATAAGTACAAATGAGCTGAAATTTTCAGGGATTGTAGTCCCTTGATTGGGATGAAATTCAGTGAAATTCAGCTTTCTATCTATAATAGAAAAAAAGTTATGCCCTTCTGACTGAAACGATGAAATTTTATTTTTTTTTGTCGAGATTTTGTTCCTAATGGTTAATCAGCATCCCCCAAACTCCATACACTAAATTATTCTCAGTTTTGAAGCCGAAATCTATGAAAAAAGGCACACAAATTGAAACATTGATAAATCACCCCAAATTGCTTAACACGATGTTATCTCAGGAACTATAAGTGCAAATGAGCTGAAATTTTCAGGGATTGTAGTCCCTTTATTGAGATAAGATTCAGTGAAAATTTCAGCTTTCTATCTATAATAGAAAAAAAGTTATGCCCTTCCAAAGTTTTCGAAAATCTAAATTATAAGGTAGCTTACTAAAACGATAAAATTTCAAATTTTTTTTTGTTGAGATTTTGTATCCTAATGGTCAATTACTTAACATCCCCCAAATTCCATACACTAAATTATTTTCAGATTTGAAGCCGAAATCTATGAAAAAAGCTCGGAAAAAAGGCACTCAGAAATATTGAAAAATTGATAAATCACCCCAAATTGCTTAACACGACTTAATCTCAGGAACTATACGTGCAAATGAGCTGAAATTTTCAGGGATTATAGTCCTCTACTGGTATAAGAATCACTGAAAATTTCAGCTTTCTATTTATGATAGAAAAAAACGAATCTCATGTATTCTTATTTTCTCATGTAATCCAATGTACTCTTATGTATGCCCTATGTATTCATATGTATTCTTTTATATTCTTGTTTTTATTGCCTCAAAATTCTAATGTTCACTGTGTTCTTTTAAAAACAGCTTTGTATTGCAATATATCTCTATGTGTTTTCATGTATTCCTTTGTAGTCATATGTATTCATTATGTATGTCTATGTATTCTTATGTACTCCATCTATTCAGTGTGGCGGTTTACCCCTCGAATTTTTGTATCCAAAATACTAAATTAAAAACAAATACATTTTTTTCTAGAAACGTTGACAGTAATATTTCCTTAGAGCTAACAAACAGAACACGCGAAGAAATCAAAACAAAAGTTGAATGCAAAAACTTACAAGAAATTTGTGAAAATTTGTGTTCAAATTTAGAAGAAAGCAATACAATTTTAAAACAATCTTTGGAAAAATATGTAAGTGCTTTTGTTGCCAACTTCTCCTATTTTAATGTTACAACTTCAGGATCCAGAAGCCCATTTGATAAACTTTGTAAACGCAAAACACTATTACGAAAACATCGAAAATTTAGAATCATGCCTATTGCCAATCCTGAAAACAAACAAAACCATATTAGAAAACCCTGATGACCAAACTTCTAAAGAATTAGAAACTTGCAGGAGAAGAATTTTGCACAGTCATCAAATATTTATCAGCAACAAAATGGAAATTGAAAAACTAAAAGGAATTTTTGAGTTTTTAGATAAAACTAATATAGATGAAAGTGGCAGGTGATTTCAAGTTTTCTAATTTTAAACAGTTAATAACTAAAGTATTTTTCAGTTGGACTTCATGTGCTACTTATTTTGAAGCCAAAGAGCTTTACTGTAAAAGACAATGTGAAGTATTGAGTACCATCGCAAGCAAAATTGCTGATCAGCATATTAATCAAACCAAAATATATTATTTGGAACAGGAACTTCAAGAATTTCAGTGAGAGAGGGCAACAATATAATAACGTAAATTTTATTAATTGTATGTTGTTTTAGGCAAAAATCCGAAAGCATTTCAAAATTATTAGAAAACGTCAACAAGTGTTTGTCCTATTATGCTGTTACAAACTGTTTGCTGCTGATAGAAAAACAAGATGTTGCAAACATGACGAATTTTCATCAAAAAATCATCTCTTATATTAATGAAGATTTACATAAGTGCTCCAAAAGAACTGTACTTAAGTGGTTTTTATTTGTCTAGGAAAAATAATATAATTCATAATTTTTAGGAACAAATGAACAATATAATTGCAGATTATAATTCAAGTTTAGCTTCAAGAAAAGGAAATCTTATATCACTATTTGCAAAAGCTTTAAATTGTGATAAAAATGACTTACAATCAATTGCAACTGCTTTAAGCAAATTTAAAAGGGAATTAAACATTTTGGAAGGACAAGTTTTTCGTGAGGACTTTCAGAAAAAGCAAAAACAAATTGACAAAATGTAATAATTACACCCTAATTCCATTGTGTTTTTTAATACATAATATTGTTTTAGAAATGAAGACATTAGAATCCTTCAAAAATTCCTTATATCCGGACCTACAAACAGAATAGTGGTGGTACCGATGGAACTGCAAAAAATCTGGCTGCTAATTGAAGAACATTTGAAAAAAGAAAGCGAAAGTGTCAGTCAGGCTGTTCAGAGTCCGCAAATTGCAAGGAAATCGATGACAAAAGCTCAAAAATACCAGAAGAAACTTTGGATTAGTTTTCTTACTGACACTTCCAAGGTGGAGTCTATTTTGAAACAAGCCGAAGAGGAGTTCGAGAACAGGATGAAACAATATTTTTAGCTTATAACTATGTTACATTTAAATGATCAAATAAAAGTCGCATTAAAAAATCTGATTTATTAATGAGTGAACCTGAAAGTTCTAGGTTGTTCCATTTTGCTGGAACCTATTTTTTTCAATTCTGATTTCTGACCATTTCTGAATTAGATTAGATCCAGAACAGTTCACCTAGGTCATTTTTGAACCTGGTACAGCCTTAGGGTACAGCTGAATTTTGAAACAGAGAATCTTAAAAATCTAGAATTTAAACTGAAAATGCATGGACATTCCATTTCCTGCAAAAATTAGATAAGAAATCTAATTTCTGAATATTTCTCAATTGAATTTGATCCAGAAGCAGTCCACCAAGGGCATTTTTCAACCTTGTATATCCGAATTTTGGAACGCAGAATCTTAAAAATCTGGAACTAAAACTGGAAACGCATGAAAATTCAATAACCTGCAACAATTAGATTAGAACTCGTCTGATTTCTGACCATTTCTCATACAAATTTGATCCAGAACAGTTCACCGAGGTTATTTTTGAACTTGGTAGAGTAGAATTTGGAAATGGACAATCCTAAAAATCTGGAATTTGAACTGGAAATGCATGAAAATTTAATTTCCTGCCAAAATTAGTCTAGAATTCCAGTTTCTGATCATTTTTCAATTAAGTTTGATCCAGAGCAGTTCACTGAGGCCATTTTTAAACCTGATAGAGCTGAATTTTGAAACGGAGAATCTTAGAAATCTAAAATTAAAACTGGAAATGCATGAAAGTTCAATTTCCTGCAAAAATTAGATTAGAACTCTGATTTCTGACCATGTCTCAATTAAATTTAATCCAGAACAGTTCACCGAGGTCATTTTTGAACTTGGTACAGCGGAATTTGGGAATGAACAATCTGAAAAATCTGGAATTTGAACTGGAAATGCATGAAAATTAATTTCCTGACATAATTAGACTAAAACCCCAATTCCTGATCATTTTTCAATTGAATTTGATTCAGAGCAGTTCACTGAGGCCATTTTTGAACCTGGTAGAGCTGAATTATGGAATAGAAATTCTTAAAAGTCTAGAATTTGAACTGGAAATGCATGAAAATTGAATTTTCAGCCAAAATTAGACCAGAATTCCGATTTCTGATCATTTTTCAATTAAATTTGATCCAGAACAGTTCACTGAGGTCATTTTTGAACCTGGTAGAGAGCTGAATTTTGGTACGGAGAATCTTAAAAATCTGGAATTGAAACTGGAAATGCATGAAAATTCAATTTCCAGCAAAAATTAGAATAGAACTCTGATTTCTGACCAGTTTTCTATCAAATTTGATCCAGAGCAGTTTACAGAGGTCATTTTTGAACCTGGTTGAGCTGGATTTTGGAATGGAGAATCTTGAAATTCTGGAATTAAAACTGGAAATGTATGAAAATTCAATTTTCTGTAGAAATTAGAAGAGGTGTTTTCTCGCGTCTCAAATGTTTTGAAACATTTTACAAAACTGGTTTAAAACAGTGTCACATGACGTCATAACTTCTCGACGCCGTAAAATGGTTCAAAAACATATGGATTGGAATTTGTATTTCGAACCGGTTTTAACCAATTTTGATATGACGTCACGGGTTCATCGCGAGAATATACTGTTCAAACCTGTTTTGAACCAGTTTCAGAAAAGTGGACACGAGAAAACAGCTCTATGCAGCAATTTTCCTGGCCCCACTGGCCTTCTTATGTAATGAGTTATTATGAACTTTTCTACTGTATCATTTATCAACGAGATAAACTTATATGGTCTTATGACAATTACCGCATGGACAATAATCCTAAAAATCTGGAACTTGAGCTAGAAATGTATGAAAAATTAATTTCCTGTCAAAATTAGAGTAGAATTCCTGATCGTTTTTCAATTAAATTTGATCCTGAGCCATTATTGAACCTGGTAGAGCTGAATTGAACCTGGAAATGAATGAAAATTCAATTTCCTGCAAAAATTAGATTAGAACTCTGATTTCTGATCATTTTTCAATTAAATTTGATCCAGAACAGAGTAGGTAGTATGTGGGCGTTCTGGATCAAAACAGAGACGAGACAGACTCCCCCTACCACTCAAGATACAACCATCCCCCTATCGCGCACAAATCCCTCCACTGCAATTTTCCTGTAATATTCCAAGTCAGATGAAAACCAGCACAAAACCAGCTAAACTAGCAAAATCCAGAATAAAGTCAGCAAAATTCAGCACAAAATCATCAAAATCTTGCACAAAATTAACAAAACCAGCACGAAACCAGTGAAAACCAGCTAAACTAGCATAAAAGCAGCAAAATCCAGAACAAAACCAGCAAAATTTAGCACAAAATCAGCAAAATCAAGCACAAAACCAGCATAAAACATAAAGGGATGGTTGTGTGTAGTATCTTGAAAAGTAGAGGAGTGTGGAAATGCATGCATGAAAATTTAACTTTTTGCCAAATTAGACTAGACCTCCGTCCTGATCATTTTTCAAATAAATTTGATCCAAACCAGCTCACCGAAATCATTTTTCAACCTGGTAGATCTGAATTATTGGAACGTAGAATCCTAAAAATCTAGATTTAAAACTGGAAAATGCATGAAAATTCAATTTCCTGCAAATACTAGATAAGAACTCTGATTTCTGACCATTTCACAATCAAATTTGATTCAGAACAGTTCACCGGAGGTCATTTTTGAACTTGGTAGACTGAAATTTGGGAATAGACAATCTTAAAAATCTGGAATTTGAGCTGGAAATGCATGAAAATTCAATTTCCTGTCAAAATTGGAGTAGAATTTTTATTCCTGATCATTTTTCAATTAAATTTGATCCAGAGCAGTTCACCAAGGCCATTTTTGAACCTGGTAGAGCTGAATTATGGAATGGAAATTCTTGAAAATGATCTGGAATTTGAACCGGAAATGCATGAAAATTCAATTTCCTGCAAAAATAATATTAGAACTTTGATTTCTGACCAGTTTTCTATCAAATTTCACCCAGAGCTAGCAGTTTACAAAGGTACGTCATTTTTGAACCTGATTGAGCTGGATTTTGGAATAGAGAATCTTGTAATTCATCTGAAATTTGAACTGGAAATGTATGAAAATTTAACTTCCTGTCAAAATTAGACTAGACCTCCGATACCCGATAATTTTTTAAATAAATTTGATCCAAAACAGCTTACTGAAATCGTTTTTCAACCACATAGTAGATTCAAATTATATTGGAACAGAATCTTAAAAATCTGGAACTAAAACTGGAAAAGCATGAAAATTCAATTACCTAATAAAATTAGATTAGAACCCTGATTTTTGACCATTTCTTAATCAAATTTGATCCAGAACAATTCACCGAGGTTATTTTTGAACCTGGTACAGAGCTGGAATTTTGGAACGGAGAATCTCAAAAATCTGGAATTTAAACTGGAAATGCATGAAAATTCAATTTCCTGCAAAAATTAGACTAGAACTCTGATTTCTGACCAGTTTTCTATCAAATTTGACCCAATGCAGTTTATACTTATCTCCATCCTGTCTGTTTTTCCCATAAGGAACAATGTGTTTTGCGTGAGATAAAGCTATAGTATTTTATATCATTGAAATTAGCAAAAGCAAAACTATATCCAATAAGTTTATAATATGTGTGTCTCATTTGGAAAAAACGTATGTTTGGTTCATAATTTAAAAACTATCACTTCTATAAGAATCCGTAGTCAACTTTTCGATCACTTATGAAAGAATCGAGATACAAGGGATGTCCCAAAATGCAACATACATACAGAAAAGTAGCCAACGCTCCCGAAAACCCGAGCCAAAACCGCATCCTTCTAACTCCGATAGCAACTGAGATATCCCTTATACAACCAAAATGGGACACACTGTACAGTCGAAGAAAGGTACAAGTAGAAGAAAAACAAAATCAAAAACTATGTAAAAAGTAAGCCAAATACCAAGTACCTACTTACTTATAGCTTTGGAATGACCATTAAACACATTCGTACTTCCGCATTTTCCACGAGAGCTCTCATGGGTGCACTTGCCCCTATGCCCCCATAGGTATGTGTAGTCGGAGCCCAGTGACAGATCTTCAATATCAAAGGCCAGATCTGGTACTCAGACGGGTCAAAGACTGAGAATGGCACAGGCGCAGGATTCTACAGTCAGGAAGGAAGATGCGAGACCTTCTTCTCTCTAGGCTCACATATATCTGTTCTCCAGGCAGAGGTATCTGCAATACTACAACTCGCAAGGATTAACAATATAAGGGCCTGCAAAGATAAAAGACTAACTTTACTCACAGACAGTCAGGCAGCGCTGGAGGCATTGAAGAACCCTGAGGCAAACTCTGCACTGGTAATAGAATGCAGAGAACTCAACAACTTGGCGTACCAAAATAACGTCACATTGATGTGGGTGCCAGGACATAGAGGTATCCCGGGCAACGAAAAGGCTGACGAACTTGCACGCAGGGGGTCATCTACAGAATACCTTGGTACCGAACCACCTCTCAGAGTGCTCTAAAGCACAGTAAGAAAGGAGCTGAAGAGATAGATCAAAGCAAAACATGTTCAATACTGGAAGCCAATACCCAAGCATGAACATAGGAAAATGTTCATACGTGATACATGCAGCAAAAGAGTAAAAAGACTGCTACAACTAAGCAGGAATCAACTGAGAGTAGTAACAGGCTTTTGCACTGGGCATACCCCAGTAATAAAGAAGCACCTGAAAACAGAGAAGATGAACTAGATCCAGACACATACCGCAAACATCCAACAGACCTACTTCGCCTACTGCAGGGATTCAGGGTTTTGGAATAGGTGCAGTATATAAACAGAAAGATTCAGGAAAATAAGCCTCCGGCGTGTAGCGCTACTCGGAGTTTGATCAGACGACTTCCCAACCAAAAAAAAAGAGGTTTTGTACAAATATCGCACAACTAATGACCAAATATTATTAAAAGTGATTTTTCAGACACTTAAATTCTTATTTGTGTGAGAGGAAGTTACCCAATGAAGTTACCCAATTACACGCAGGTTATATTGATGATG